GCATTACTTTTTAATTTAGAAGGAAATATCTAAGTTATTATTTCAAATACGTAACGCCAGTTACTTTGTTTCCCATGTCTTGACTGACAGCTCTCGTGTTGCCATGTTGAGAGAAATTGGGAGTTAGTGCAGAGGCGTTGTGTGTGAACATGATGATACTGTAGTTCTAGACTAAATATGAACATGTATTTACTCATCTCACTGCACAAAAACAGATTCAGTATTCCTCAAAATGAATAAAAACAGTCGAATCCAAACTCAGAATATTATACAAACCTGCAATAATTAAATGTTAAATAAGACAAATATAATTTATGTATTTAATCCCATTTTATTAACCAATGTCTTTGCTACTGACCTTCGGTGATCCAATTCAACCATACTAAGCAAAAATTACACATTTGTGTTTCATTTTTGTTATTGCTGAATAGTGTTGAACTTTCTTCTCCTGCATCATATTCTTCGTGCAATTTGTTTGAGCTGCGCCCTATACTGTACAGACATGAATTTACATTTCCTTCAGCCTGAGGCGTATTCAATTCACTTTTGGTGTGAAAGGGCTTTTTACATTTGTTTGTTAAATTTTTTACAAAAGAAGAACTTTTTTATATTAAAAACAAACAATCAAGCCCTGCCCAGATTTAAAAAGTAACTCAAAAGTAACGTAACGCAATTAGTTACTTTTTTAGGGAGTAACGCAATATTGTAATGCATTACTTTTAAAAGTAACTTTGCCCAACACTGCTGATGTGTGCTGGTGATTCATCTGCTATTCAAATCACTTTAGATTTAGGTGGAACTGTGATTATTTTTTTGGGGAAAAAAGACAGCAATTGATAAGTTTTATAATGGTCTTTTGTGAGTTAAGCTATTCCTGAGTTATCTGAGCTAGATAGCCAAAAAGCATCAACTTAAAATGTGATTTATCATGGTTAGTCTTTTAATAGCGTTTAACAGTGTTTCTGTGGTTTGAACAGGTCCTGCTGTTTCCCAGTCAGCCACCTTCACAGTCAGGCCGTTTTTCTGTGTCGTTAAGTGGAGAGCTGACTATTACAGATGTGCACAGCGAGGATTCTGGCTACTACATCTGCCAGGCCATCAGTGTGGCAGGCAGCATCTTGACCAAAGCCCTGCTGGAGGTGGAAAGCAGTGAGTAAATACTTTAAACTAGCTTTGGACACACACACATACAGTTGCTCTTTCATATACCCCCACCAGCTACATCAAACACCGGCGGTTGGCGTGTATTGATATTTTAATATCAATCTAACTACATTAAAGGTCCAGAACTGTACATGTAATTGAATTGCTTGTGTGAGGCCTTATAACAAAGATTTTTTGTTTGCGTTTAAACAAATTGCCGCTTCGCCCGCCATAGCCTTTTTGCTCTAAACCAAAATAAATTAAAAAGTCTTCAAAGCCGCCCCAAATTAAAATTTCTGCGTTCTGCAAATGGGAGAACAGCAGGAAGCTCTGGAGACGTAATCAGAAAGGACAGGGCACAATCGAGCTATGCAAATAACCCCAGGAACATATGCCGCCTCTATCATGCTCCCTGGTAACAGGATAAACTGTGTTATGTGTACTTCACGTGTGTGCGCATGTACATGAAAAACCTTCACCAAGAGTCCAATATCTGCACAGTCTGCTGTAGGTTTGCTAAAAAAAAATCTGACTTATGAAATATAATCACATTTCCCAGAAACCCCTGTGCCTGTAGTGGCCTCTAAGGATGATGACCCTGGCATGTTGGCATCATCTGACTGATGTTTGCTGTAATGTTCTTACATGATACACAGTGAAATGATCTATGGAAGACATGTGCGGCACAGGGTCACTGCTCCCAAGGACGTGGTTCTCGTGCCTATGAATTTCACATCACGTAGAAACACAACTCGGTTTTGTTTGAGCAATACGGCCCTCGTCTTCTTTCTGACCTTATGGTCTTTTCTTTTTCTTACCGCAGTGGAGGGAAAATGTCAGAGATGCAGGCTTCCTTTCCCGGGTCCTTGTTTTTCCAAATGAGGATGCTAAAGTAACCGAATTGTCAATTATTTATCTATGGACTTTTCTCCTCGCTTAGGTCAACAGACAGTAGGTTTTTCAGTTCTAGACAAACAAATAATAAATTATTAATGGAAACACGGCGGTGTTAAGCCATCACATTTGTCTATAGAAGGAGATGCAGCTGAACTACAGGAAATGGAAGAATAAATTGTAGAAGAACACAGGCTACTGTAATTATTCTAGAGTGCCGTGTTGAAAAGCATTATTGTGCATTTTACATGCTATATTGCCACATACCTTTCAACCTGAAAAATATTTACAACTACCTGTGTGGAAAAGTGCAGTAAAATGCCTTTTTTTTTTCATTCAATGCTGTTACATACATTAGAGGTATATGCACATGGTCACATAAATATGATCATTAATGTAGACTGTGGAAATAATCTTACATAAATTACAGTTTCTTTATAGCTTTACATGATTTCATGCTTTCATTTAAAAAAAAAAAAGTATTTAAAAATATTCTCAACAAAAGCATTGCATTACAGCTTTATTGTCTATTAAGTATTTGCTTCTTCAAAGTCAACACAGCTTTGCATTGTCTGTGATTACTGCCATTGCTCCAAAAAGCTAAATAGTAAAACATGGTCAACGCAGAGCTCAGAACAGGTTATCAACAAAAGAAAATCCATCTTAAGTCACAGACAAATGGTCTGAACCATGAAAGCGTTCTCTCACTTCTTTAAAATCTACATCCAAGCAGAGTGTCTGTCTAGGTAAGTGATGCATAGTTAAATGGAGCCAATGTCACTTCAAAATCCCCTTTCAAGGAGTAGGTAAGTGGAAATACACATAAGGGGACCATGAATAGACACCTTATAGAAATTATATGTAATTTTACATTCATTGTTTAAAGGTGCATTAATGCCAGTTGCCATAGAGAGTTGTTTTGATAAAAGTACTATTCTGTGCGTAGAAGGAGTAGGAGGGGGAGTGAATCAGATCAGTAGAATCTCAGGTTCAGTTA